ATAATGTTTAATCTAACATAAAGCAAACGTAAAGAAGAACAAATAATAATTATAAAAGATTCAATCGTTTTAACTTAATTTATTGTAATAGTTTATTTCTTGCAGTTTTGTATATGATTTCATGGAGTTGATGAATACTGATTTGCTGATCATTTACTATTTTTTCCCCACGGACAAAGAATGAGTACTCAGCTAGTTTACAATAAAGTAATCCTGCAATTTACATGGTGGAACAATTTGTGATAAACATATTTAAAATGTAATCTTAATAAATTACATTTACATTTTGTAATTACCTTTATGTAAAATTGGGAAATCATCAAATGAAAAAAAAAGAAGCACAGGAAATAAATATTGCATTGGGGAACAATTTAAATAAGTAGTTTTTATTGATTATCTAAATCTATTCCATCCGAAGATATTAGTTAATTGAATTCTACTTAAAAACTAAATTAAATTCCGTTCTTAATTGCAGGGATAGCAAGGTAACTGAGATTGCCTTAAATCAAATTTACTAAAATTATTCAAAATAGAGCTTTTGATAAAATGGGGAACAATTTTTTTTCCTGCAGCATGAGATATTTTAACAGATTTTAGGCACTTTCTTACCGTTGATTTAACATCCGCAATCGATTTCTCTCCCTAAGCTATAGTTATTATACTATATTTGTTCTATTTATTATCGAAATGTATAAAATGTTATTTATAACAGGGGCCACGCAAGTGTTGCGGCAAACTTCTAGGGGAGTTAGGGCAAATCATTAAAATTGCGTATGAGCTCGTGTTCAGAAATGTCGTCATACGCCGCAAGGGGAGTCTTCTCTATTATGAACTGTTTTTCCGCGTGCTTCTGAAAAATATAATAATAGGTAAGACCCAATAGCAGCGGGCAACGACATTTCCGGGCATGGGATCCTATGCAATTTTAATTCCTGTTAATGTGCTGTAACTCATCCAGAAATTTGTCGCAATATTTACTCGACCCCCTGTTATATAACGCTTTAAAACTTGTACATTTCGACAAAAAAGACTGAAATTTTAAAAAATTCTGCAGCTTCATTAGCAAAACTAATTTCAGAGTTGAAATTCTAACAGCCAAATTAGGGAAGATAAATTATTATATTATTATTTTTTGAACTTGGAGTCTACAAAATGGCCTGCTTTTTTGATATTGATAATATGGAATCTTCCCTCTACTAGTTGATTGATTGAGCAACGTGTCAAAAATGGTTTTCTAACGAGATCTGCAAAAGAAAATGAATTTACGTGCCAGATCACCACTGAAGTACTTCACCATTATTCCCCTGTTACATTATTTTAACACATCATTAAATTAATAAATAAATTAGTGCAATATGATATTTTCGTTAAATGTAAATTTCGTTGTTGTCTTTTGTACAGATTACCTATTTTTCAAGATCATTTGTAGAAATTGGAAAATTAAAGTAAATACAGTGAGTATAATAAGCTTATTTGAAATTTATTCTATTATAATAAAATCTAACACTAGACAAATGAGTTAGATTTCATTTAATGATTAATGTAAGGTAACAAATAGTAAAATAGTAATAAAGTAACACTCTATAAAGTAGCAAAGGTTTCAACAGAGTCTTAATTGACACTTAACAGTGAAAAGTCTTGAAGTTTTACGAGTTATTCTAAAATGAAACTTTCAAAAGATCCTTCACCTCCAGTTTATGTCATACTTGTTAAAAATACAGAAGAGACTAAAAGATGTTACCGTAGACGTTGATTTATTTTAAGGAGTTTATACAAGATTGGAAGGATCCTTCTTATTTTGTCAGAAACATGCCCGAATGAATGTAAAGTGAAACTAAGAGAGTCAATTAAACTAAATGTAAAATTATAGTGTGGTATTAAAATATACTTTTATCCTCATATATTTTTAAAATTACATATTAATTAAATGTATATTATTTGCAATGTATAAAATACCGGTATACCTATATAGGAAATGTATGAATGAGGATCCTTCTAATTTTGTCAAAAACATGCCCGAATGAATGTAAGCTGAAACTAAGAGGAAACTAAGATATGAGAATTATTATATGATTTATATTTATACACTGGGAAAAAAGTGTGGTTAATTCTAACAGATTATGGTAAAATTTACCGTGTCTCTGACCTCATAGGAACACCAAAAAAGCTTGCTGATTTTCACTGAAGCGCTTCAATGATTTTGGCAAATATGGTATGAAAATATGTGATAAAATTAGGTAACTGCAGTAAAATTTGTTTGTTTCATCACGATACCTTAGAACATTGCATAAAAGCCATTTATTTGGTTAAATTTGCTTTTCAATTTTCTATTTTTGCTGTATTTGTGACTATAAAAACATAATTTCAAAAACCAGAATATCCGAAAAACCGTCATCATTTAAATGGAAAAATTACCGAACGAATTGTTTAAAAACCATATATTTTGATTTGATTAACCAGAATAATGGTCCTTTTCTTACCAGATATGTCATTAACATACAGAACTATACATAACTATTTTAAATACTACTATATTTTCTTTTTGCAAATTTTTTTTTATGCAGCAAAAAATTTACAGTTATCGATTTGTTTGGCTATTATGATGATCGGAAAAAATATTAAAATGGGGAATACCGGGCAATTGCCTTGATATATGAGTGAAAAGAATATAACAATAGTCCACACATCCCAGGTGGGTTATTTTGCCGTTATGTCTGCAAAAATTAATAACACCCGAGAAACACTTAGAATTTCTGCCTACCTTATTGTTCGGTCTTAGGCGAAGCGCCATCTGTAGCAATTGTTGTGAACTGCTCAGTTTCTCTTGAACTCTTGTTTGAGCCAGTCGTGGCTTCCATTGTAATAGTGGATTTTGGTTATTTACAATTGTTAAAATAAAATATTGTTAGTTGAAATTTCGTATTTAATGAACCAGCGCACTGTGTACAATCGTGTACATAATAAAGTGGTCCTAGTGGACCCGGAGGTCGTACTTTCGAACTTTCTGTTTGTTGTGGAATGCGTAGTTTCATTTCGTTTTCTTCATAATGAGCAGTAGTAGTGAAGAAGACAAAAAATCAGAAAAGACTGTGCTTAGTCGCAGAAAGGGTTATTTGAAAGGTCGAATAACCAAATTAGAGACATTTGTTCGTGAGAAAGCCGAAACAGCTGGACTATTATTGCTTCAATGCAAATTAGAAAACGTTTTGGACACTTGTGATAAACTAGAGAAATTAAAACTGGATTATTATGCCACCCTCGATGAAAAAGATTTGCCCAATTTTGAAGCTGAAATGGACAATTTAGAAGAGTCAATAGAACATATAAAGGTAAGCTTGCAAACCTTTATATTTAAGTTTCAACATAGTGAAGTGAGAGGCAATGATTCTATTGTAACTAAAGTGAATTTGAAGTTACCAGATATTAATTTGCCTACATTTAATGGACAAGTTGAGCATTGGTCAAGCTTTAAACAACAATTCGATAGTTTAATATCTAATAATTCTTCATTGTCTGATTTACAAAAGTTGATTTATTTGAGATCATCGCTTAAGGGCGATGCTAAATATATAGAAACTAGTGAAGATTCATTTGAATCTTTAATGAAAGTTTTAATTGATAGATATGAGAATAAGCGTATTGTGGTAAATAGTTATATT